TCCCAAGTGCTGGGATTAAAGGTGTGAGTCACCATCGCCTGGCTTTCAGAAGCATTCTTTATTTATGATTTGTTTCTGAGAATGGAGGAATGTTAATCTGTGTTTTCCATTGCTGCATCCCCCCATCAATTCATGGCTACATTAACCACATATGGCTTTAATTTTCCTATTCAAGCTGGGCAGCGATGACAGTGGTGTCAGGGCTCCTGGGACAGAGCCTGGACAGTTTCCAGCCTTGTGTGCGGCAGGAGAGGACACAGGAGCACCCTGGAGGCAGGATTGAGACCCTAAGGTGTCCAGTTCCCTTGATGTCTGGGTCCCTGGTGGGAAAGGGAAAACTTCACCCATGATTGTTTTGTCCCATGAACCTCGTGCGTGTGTGAAGACTGTGGAATGTGCTGCTGAGTTGTCAGTGTGAGTCCGTGTGTCCATCCACTCCTTCCCAGTCACCTCTCACACCACAGTCGTCCCTGTCTGCATTGTCCCACACAGGCCTCTCTCCTGAGTGTGGGGACACAGCCTGTCCTGAAGGGGGGCTCACCAGGGCCTTTGTTCTCAGTATGGGGACACAGCCTGTCCTGAAGGGGGCTCACCAGGGCCTCTGTCCCACAGCAGTGGGAGGCTGTGCAGAAAGCAGGTTAGAGTCCCAATTGTCCTTCTCCTACATTGGATGGCAGTCAGAGTTCTGAGTGACCTGCAAGGCACAGTTTGCACCTCCCACTGATAAGATGGTCGCTTGGCGTTTTGATAGTGAGAGAACCTGACGCCATCCTAACAAGTGGTCAGGATGCTAATGTCGTTCTGATCCCTCTATTGTAATTTAGGAGGTCGCCTGGGGAAGAGATGTTTCTCAGTCCACATGACAAAATGGGCATGGATAGGAAGACATGACCTAAGTCACCGCCCTCTACAGAGACTTTGTCCCAGCCTGCTCCAGCAGAGTGCTCCCGGCCACAGAACACGGGGAGCTTCGTCCATCAGAACTGGAAGCTGAAGCAATGGGAACAGGGCGTGTTTCTCTATCAGGAAGAGGTGGAAGTTCACCTCACCACCCCACCCCACCCTCACCCCGGTCACCACCAACGCTGCCTGCTGGGGAGACTTCTGGGTCACACTTGTTAAGGAAAGGCTGTGGGGTGACAGAAAGAAGTAAAGGAGACCTCACTGAATCTCTGTGANGGTGACTGAATTTTCCTCTGGTCTGAAACATCCCTGCTGGAGCCAGGAGGAGCTGATGAGGCTCAGGAAACACAAGAAGATACAGGTTCACAGAGCTGACACAATGTAGCGCTTCCCTCTCAGGGTTAAACCAGCTGCAGTTCCTGAGGGAGAAGAGACTGTGGAGTGGAGCTGCTGGGAGCTGTCTGGGGACTGCAGTGTTGAAGCTGTGTGAGCGGACATGGCGCTGGGGTGGCTTTAGTGGTTATCCCCGACTCACCCAGGCTCCACTGAGGGAACAGTGAGCTCAGGGCTCACGGAGCTGACCGTGGATGGATGTCTTCCTTGGTCAGCTGTCACTGTGACTATCTGGGGAGGAGGAAATCTACTCCTCAACCAGGGACACAGCTATGTTCATTGTTTATGTAAATTGTTCTGTCATTAATAAATCTCAGAAGTCAGATATTGGGGTAAAACCTGATAGGTCAGAAAGCAACAGAAGAAAAACCAGCTGATCCAATCTCTCTCCATGCTTCCCACATTGATATCCCCATGAATCTTTATAGGCCCCGCCCTACTCTTTTCTCTGCCTCTCTATCTTATCGTATCCTGGCTCCTCCAAAACCTCTATGGCTAATTCCAGACAGCTGGTTGTTGACT